TTAATAACTTTAAAGGACCTTCATGGCCTAGGTGGTGTGCCGGTTTCAATGTGTTGCCAACTCTGAGGCGGATTTTTACACTCTCGTCTGGATCAAGGAAAAAATCTTTTTTATACTATCTCGGGTTTGAATGTTATGATACTTTCTATTACTTTACTAATCAATTTTGGAATCTGATTTTTTTTTAATTATTGTTCTTTAGTTAAAAGTTTATTTGATATACTGAACTATACACCTTCCGTAATCTGCGCAGCTCTTTAAATTATTGACTAATAACGCGTTACTGACACATGATTAAAATTTACTTATTTCAAGTATTTCTACACGCACTACTCCTTAAATGTAACACAAGGCAAATATTTTGAAATAATCCTATTAATATTATAAACGTGAAAGTTTCTCAGTTTGGATGTGTGGATGTTTGCCCGTCAATCACGCCGAACCTACTGAACGGATTTTGATGAAATTTGGTATACAGATAGGGTATTAGCTGACTTAGATAATAGGATACTCTTTATCCTTCTAAACATTTCTCTAGGGACCACGCGGGCACAAGCCGCTGGGAAAATATAGTAATTTAATAAATGTAGCAGTTTCTATTTTTTTTTTGTGTTTGAATGTGTCCGATAGTATTGTTTTAAAGGTAGCTATACTCTTAATAAAAAACCATCATAATCTTAAGTGAACACGGCTCCTGTAAAGGGTCAAACGTCCTGAAAACAAATATAAAAGCGCTTTCCGTTCAAAATAGTTTTATTACACGATGAAAAGGTGAAAAGTCTTTTTATTCAACTCAATTCTGTAAATAGGTATGTTAACCAGACTGTATTATAATCAAAAGAGAAAAAACGTTAGCGTATTATGTCTGAATAAAAAAGGACATTTTATATTCTAAGCTCACTGGTAACTATGAATGATATTATGCAGTTGACTGTACCAACAAAATTTACAATAGTTCGCTCCCTCTCTAAAGAATTCATTTCGTCGAGTTCTGGGTAAAATTATTCAATGTTACCGCGCAAAATGCCTGCGTCCGTTTCGGGAGTAAAAGCATGCAGCCGCAGATCCATAGTTAAATGGAGCCGATAACGATTTATGTATGTATGTAATTTGTATATATGTTATGTATGTAGTTTATAGTTAATGCGTATTAGTAGTATGTATTATATATTATAGTAATATATTTGTATAGGATATTATTTCATAAGTCTTTTGCTAATGTTGGCACACTACCACATCCTACCGCTTTTAGCGATAAGACCGCCTTTTCCCACTAGAATTAAGATATTAGCAATAAAGAGTTCATCTAAACTTTTAATTTGTGTGTGAGCAATAAAGAGTTCATCTATCTATCTATCTTTCTAATGTCTGGCTCAGCCCTTCCCTATTTGGAATCGAATTGAATCGGATAGGGAGAATGAGCCATGACCCATTACGCGGGCCAAGTGGGATTGGTGCAGCCGGGACCAACGGCTAAAAGTGCCTTACGAACCATGGAAGTGTTCGAGACAGTAAATTTAGATACCATACCGCAGACCGAATGTGCTAGCCACTGCGCACATTATACGATGACGATTACTATTATTGTATTCTTCTGTTGATCTTAAAGCAAATAACAACTATAGAATCTCAACAAACACATGCGATACTACAATATTGATTGTACTTTTTTATTACACTTGCTTTAACAACCTTCTGATGGCCGCTGGGGCAGAGAGGTTCTGGAATGCCGACCACGTATCGGACGACACTCATCGAGTAGCCCTGTATAAGATTGTCGTCACCCCAAGTGGAGCGACGATGTTATACAGGTTTCGGGAAACCGGTAGATGTGGGCCAGGTGGCCAAGCAGGACCAATTTTCTATGGAGATCTGTGAGGGCGGGCTATGCTTAGCTGTGGCGTCGTACAGCTTACGATGATGATTTTAACAATATCCTAGCAACAAACATAGTTTTTATTACTTCTTTATGTTTGATCATTTTATATCTTGCCTTTCATTGATAGATATATACCTACATGTTAAATTAAACAAACAGTTTCGTCATCAAACATAGTATTTTTGCTGTACACGGAATAGAAGAATATATTACAAACATATGTTTGTTATAAAATGGAACACGAATTACTTTACAATAGAAAATGCAGAGAAAGTATATTGGGTATAATTTCTTTTAGCATTTTTTTAAATTTCACTTTACTATAATTAAGAACTTAAGTTAATAGTTGGAAATTACGAAGGTGTTACAATTCAGTCTAAAGACAAAATATAAAAGTTCCTTTGCAAAGTCCAAAGATGTTTATTGATGTAACTCGTATGATTCCTGAGCTATTTCTATTTATCCTCGAACGAAAATTCGAGATATTTCGAATAGTTTTAAAATTTTGTTGAAATCATTTCATTAAAGATTATATATGCATCAAACGCCGTTTTAAAGCCTCCCCACATTGCATTTTAAATTAATGAGAAATATGTTTTTTTGTTGATGTCATTAATTTTTACGAGTAGTATATAATCGTAAATGAGACACAGGATCATATAAATCATCACACCAAATCGAACGTGATCACCACATGAATGAGAAGCCAGTAAATAAATAATGTTCCATCTAGATTTCTCAGATTCTATAGTGAAGGTCGTCACTCTGCCGGTCGCACTACCGCCCGCCTCTAGAATTATTCCGCAAACATAACTCCATGCAGTGAGTTCATACGACGCGACCGGTGCATTCACGCTGAAGATTTCTTCGGATGAAGGTTTTTTAAGAGTTCGCTATGAAAAACTTTGGACATCTTTCTAAATGAACCACAAGTGTCATTTTTTACTTATTAAAACACGGAGACTGAATTTTTTCTTGAAACGAAAAACTTTGCTTATTTGTTATTAAGATTATTACTTTTGTAATAGTTAATTGTAATGCAAATACAATTGTGGAGTCCACTAGGATACTTTTCCAATTAGACCCTGGATGGGTCTATAAATAAAGTATTTTTGTATTTTCAATATATAAAGCAGCAAAAGTGGGGACGTAAAAGGGCTGGTGATGATGATTATGATGAAAGCAGCAAAAACGAATATTCTCTTTAAAAAAATAGCCTTGAACCCATTGTCATGCGCAGCGCTGTCAATTCATAGATCAGCAGATCAATTTTCCTAATGTTTACGGTAATAATCGCATCTCAATAGAATCTCAAGTACTGTTCAGGTAGTATAATGGCAGATATATATCTGTCACCATCGATGTGTGAGGATGACATTGCACTAATAATATTGGACTTTATGTAGATAGTATTACACAAACAATAACAGAATTGGCCTACTGCAGTGATGTACAACTTTTGAAATAGGTTTTATTTTATTGAAACTAAGATGTGACAGAATTCAAAATCAGAGACAGAATGAATTTTGCAACAGAATAATACTGTAGGAAGAAAATTTAAACGAATGTTTTTTTTTATTTACATTTATTGAGTCACGTTAATGCTCGCGTTTGGTGACTACAGGCAGAATTCCATAATTTTAATCTAATTAATTCATGTGATAACAGAAAAAGCTAGAGAATTTTGTATTTAGTATGAATTAAATTTATCTGCAAGTCTAAAAACCACTGTGGTGGACAAAATTTCGCAAATTAATTCAGCAAGCAGCTTGCAGAGACTTAATTCTAGAAACTAGCTCTCATTATGGCGACATCAGATGCTTAATCCTGTGAGAGCAGGTAGGGTCACGCCGCAAAAGTAATTAAAGCCCTGGTTTTTGCTGGAAGCCTCCTTTGTTGGAGGCGAATTAGAGATGGGATTAGCAAGTGTAATGGTGCAGCCTGTGATGCTTGTTCCATCTTTGGCTTCCACCTTATGAAGTGACGTAAGAATCTAAATGATTGTGGCCATTTATACTTCAGACTTGGCGACAATATTCTTTAAGTACTTAATGTAGATGCTATAATTTTTTTCATGAATATGAAAGGCTTTATGGGTTTCTAATAAGGTGGCTGGTGAGAGATTTTTCTGACATTTGCTAATACAATTTACCAGTATCAAACGTACTTTTAAATGAATTACGGAAAAGTGAAATATTGTTATTTACAATTTTTCGAAAATTATCTTTAATGCAAACCTAGTCCTGATAATAACAAAACACAACAAAAATAAAGTATTTAATTTGGTGTAGTAGTTCCAAAGTTATACACTTACATCCATTTCGGTGATTCATTGTTACATTTTTTCATTATGTATTAATGGGGAAAACTAGAGATATGTGGGAAGTATCAATAAATTTTGAAAAAGGGAGGGAGTATTACTCTAAGTACTTTAGTGAGCTCTTCCCCAAATCAAAAATAAAAACTTTTGAAAGTTGCAATATTTTTACGTTATTAAAATCTATCGCGCAAGAAATTGGTACTATTAAAAAGAACGGACTCAGATTAATAAACATTTCAACGACGTAAAATTTTAATTGTTCTAATTCATCAGCTTCTTTTAACATTTGTTTAAAGTCCTATAATATATTCTTCATGAAAAATGCTTAAAAAAATCTGAAATATAATCCCACCAAAGTGATTTTTTAGTGGTTTTTTAGCAGTATGAATGCATAATTGATCAAATATCATCATCAGCCCTTTTAAGTCCCCACTGCAGGGGCTCAGGCCTTCCTTATGGATGGTTAAGGAGAATGGGCCATGACACTCCACGCTGGCCCAATGCGGATTGGAGGATATTAACGACTGCAAATGCAGCCGGGAGCAACGGCTTAACGTGCCTTCCGAAGCAAAGAGTAACTCGAGATAATAATTATTTGGTCACCCATCCCGTGACCGACCCTTGCGAAAGTTGCTTAACGACAACGATCGCGGGCCGCGGCGCTTATCCACTACGCTACCGAGCTATTGATCAAATATAATAGTCCTATAACATATTTTGTGTCCACGGAAACCTTAAATATTTTCTCCTAAAATACCTTAGAGAATTCTTGCACATTGGTCTGTTATGTGACTTAATGACCTAGATATATCGTTGCGTTGCTTCGTGCTTGGCTAACGGCCATGATCGTATTTTGTCTACGGTTGACATATTTATTGTTTTTAGTTTAATTGAAATAATTATTTAAGTGAAAAGATTAGAAAAGTCCTCTCCTCTAACATTAACGTAACGTCCTATTAATATTATAAATGTGAAAGTTTATTTGTTTATATGTTTGTACGTCAATCACGTCGAAACGATTGAACGGATTTTGATGATATTTGGTATACAGATAGGGTATTATCTGACTTAGATAATAGGATTATTTATCCCACTTAAGGATCCCTAGGGATAGAAGTAGCTCCAAAGGCGCCTATTTTTATGACCGCTGCCAAAACGATATGAGATATATGAATGCTTTCTAAAGAAAGGTTGGAGAGCCTTAAATTATCTTTAAAAAAGTTCGCGATGTCATTTATCAATGTGCAAAGATTTTGCCCCAAAATTAAAATGATCTTCGTATAAGTGTATTTAAATTTTTCGTCCGTCTTTAAGCGTTTATTTGAGTAGGGGATATTAAATAATTATCGAAATAAATATGTTTACCGCCGAAAAGATTTAATAAATGTACATAAAAATAGTCTTTTACACCATATAGATTGGATGAGTAGTTTAGATTTTACTACGATGTTTTTAAGTAAAGAGAATAGCTTATATTGCCGATTTTCTAAATACTGTTTTATGTGCATGTATCTATTACGATTTACCAGCATTTTTTTTTAATGGTTACTGTAAAATGTAAATTTATAAAAACTGTATCAATCATGTTATCAATCTGTATCAATCACTGTTTTACTAATAAAAATAATGAAAGCAACGTTGGCTAAGAGAGGGTTTAGTAACAAGACACATATTCAAGGTACAAAATTACAAATCAGCGAACTGAGAAGAAACATTCTGCGAGCAACAATACTTACGGGGGCAGCTAAAGGCGAGAGCGTGTTGATTCCCCGTATACCCATTATACCCCACAATTTGTCGTTCCAGTTCAAAAGGCTGCAGTTCCCATTGAAGTTGGCATTTGCCATGACCATCAACAAGTCCCAGGGACATACCCCCAAAAGTGGCGGGCATACATTTAAGCATTCCCTGCTTTTCCCGTGGCCAGCTTCTTGTGGCATGTTCTCGAGTGTTAAGTGCAAGGAACCTGTATGTACTTGCTGCAAATAATAGATCATTAAACAATGTATATAGATCAATATTATGCTAGTCATAATCGATGTTATATGATTTATTATTATCAAAATCTGTTCAGTGGTTGCAGCGTGATTGACTCAGACTCAAATAAGATTTACTTTACTCTGGATATACCTACAGAATGATTAAAATTATTTTTTATCTCACTACACATTTCCTTGGAAACCACGCGGGCGCAGTTAATTTTTAGTTTTTTTGCATTACATATTCATTTGTTTATATTTTCTCGTGATGAAAGGAACCACAGAACACAGAAAAAAATACGTGCAGCTATTTAAGGCGGGAAAAAAACCGATGCAGATTTTTCGCGAGCTGCAAAGTTTTCCTGTAAGCCGTAACTTCGTCTATCGCACAATACAGCGGTACAAAGAGAAAAGTTATCTGCAAGATCGCCAAAACAAAGCGAATTCCGCTTAGACGTGTGCGCCGCGCCGCGCCGATGACCGACGCCGCCGATCATGACACGCCGCCGCTGACCGGTTAGAAAGATCGGCGTAAACGGCGCAGGATAGGATAACCAACGTAGTGCATCCTCTACGGCACGTGTTAATTCCGTTCCGTATTTCTATATCTAGTAAAATTTTAATGAATACAAAAGTAAACTCAATGATCAGATGCAAACAAATAAACAAACGAATCTTTCTTCATTTATTACAGCTGCCAACAATGAAATCTTGTACAATCAATATAGCACCCTTTTACAAGATGGAGTTGGCAGAAATCATAAATTCAATACTTACCCTTTTTTGTCTACTCAAGCTAACCCGCTACAAGCTCACCTAGCGAACGTGTATCATCTGGCCTTATTAAAACAGCTAAACGATTGCGTCTAACTGAGAATAATATCAATAAAATAATTTCTATACATGATAATTTGATAAAGATTTCGAATTCAAATTCGGAAAATGTGTGTTTTTCATTTGTTTTTCTTACTGTCAAAATGAGTAAATCTTACAAAGAACTTAGGTACATTTTATAATTTTATGTGACGTTTATGAACCTAATGCAGATTCTGTGAGAGTAGCACTTTTCGGTCCGAAAATTTTGATGTTAAAGATGTATATACTTCGCTCCGGTCGCCCTGTTACGAATAAAATGGATGCCATTTTTGAAAAAGTGGAGCAAGATCGGCAGATCAGTAGTTGCGACGAAGCCGAACTCACTGTAAGAAAACCTAATGAACCGAGTACTCTTTTGTGATTTTTAATGCGGCGTAATGAAACCAAACCATTTTTGAAGAAGCTGATAACTGGTGATAAAAACTGGATCACGTACGACAAGAACATGCGAAAAAAATCGTGGTCAAAGGTCGGTCAGGCTTTACAGACTGCGGCGAAACTCGGGGTAACTGGCAAAAAGGTGATGCTGTTTGTATGATGGGTTTGGAAGGGCATTATTCATTATGAGTTGTTACCGCCAGGCAGGACCATCGATTCTGAACTCTACTGCGAACAACTGATGAGATTAAAGCAAGATGTTGAGAGAAAGCGGGTAGAATTAATCAATAGAAGGGGGGTGGTTTTTCATTAAGTTAAGACAGTTTGGCTGGGAGGTGTTAATGCATCCGCCGTGTAGTCCTGACTTTGGACCATCAAATTTCCACCTGTTTAGGTCTCTTCAGAGTTCTTTAGGCAGTGTCAGATTAATATTAAGCGAGGATTGTCAAAACTACTTCTCGCGGTTTCTTGATTAGAAGCCCCAAAATTTCTATAGCAATGGGATCATATCCTTACCTAAGGTAAACGCACCAGTCAGGGACAGTATAAGAACAAATTTGACATTATGAGGCTATATTTTGAATACTGTAACTGTTTATAAATGCAGTCAGGGTCAATTATACTACAAAACTAATGGAGAATCATGATCTTTATTAAAATTATTAATTACTTACTGTATTAAAAATATTTTTGTGAAAAACTGAAGCCCTATTAGAACACTAGTGATGATTTTGGACAGGCATCACCCAGTGCATAACACCCAGTCATGGACGTCCCCGCACATGGACATCCAATCATGGACATGGCTGGCATTATTTAATGAACCAGTTAGTAAATAGATAAAGTTAGTTTAACTTTAAATAAGCAAATAACTTTTAATTATTTTAACAATTTCTTTTATTAGTAAACTTAATTAATCTCCAAAAAATTTTTGTTGTAAGTATGAAAATATGTTATGTCAAAATCTTAAAAAATCACTTTTAGCTAAATAAAATACCTAAAAAGAAACTAGCTCTCAAAGCTATAAACATATTTTACAAAACATAACAATTATTAATTTGAACATATTTTTTTAACAAGAAATCAATTATAATTTCTCTCTTCGTAATATAGTCTTATACTATCTTATCCTTATTATGCAGTCTTAATAGTATCTTTTAATTATTCGTGTTGTGCAGTCTTAATAGTTTCATACTTCCAAAACAGTCTTAAGAATTGAATAATTGAAGATCATTGTCCTTTAAGAAATAATACTCAACAATTATTCACTTAAAATTATTGTTTCTCCCAAAACTCGAACTCAAAACGTAACAATTACTAATTTGAACTTACTTTTTTAACAATAAATCAATTTTAAATACTCTCTTTGTAATACAAACTTAATACTATCTTATATTTATTATGCAGTCTTAATAGTTTCTTAATTCCAAAACAGTCTTAAGAACTGGAGATTAATGTCCTTCAAGAAATAAATAAGGTAAATATTTATCCATCTTCTTGACCTTATAAAAACCTCTTTTGATAATTAAAACAGGTTTTTCAATATGTTCCACTATGTTTGCACTGTTGTACCAAATTTTATCCGGAGTATCTGGCCAGCGAAATGAATTACCTTTAGACAGAACCATGGTGCTTATTTCGTATTGTCCTTCGTGTATATTATCAATTACACCAGGAAAATACGACCCTTCGTATCTCACTATAACATACCGTTTTACTCTGTAACCTTTATTTGAGAAGCGCAAATCATTCAACGGAACGTCTTCGTCCGAATCAGACTCTGATAATTTTGCGGTATTTTTTAGTCTGCTTTTATTGAAACTTGTACTAGGCTGGTCAAGCCGTCGATACTCTTCTATTTCATGGTAATCATCAAGGAACTCTTCATCAAATTCGCTTTCCTGGTATTCTATATCTGTTCCCGGTTCATCAGAAGAAGAACTCGATGTAACTTGTCTCTGCTTTACTATTTATATGTAGATTTCTTACGGTTTTTTGTTTTCTCTATATTAATTATCTTCTTTTGAATAGCTCGTTCTTTTAAAACCTTTTTTTCTTCCCTAGCCTTTATTCGCTTCTCCTTTGCTTCTTGCATTTGTCTTTTCTCATTTTCTTTTTGTTTTCATGTAGGCCATCCATGCATTGCTTGTAACAGCTGACGGTAAGCGTTCTTTTATGCGTCGTTTTTTTATTTCAGGTTCTGGCCAAAACAAGGCACGTTTGAATGGAGATCGAATAATGAAGTTCTTTTGAAAGGTTGATGGGTTAATAGGTGCTTGAACATTTTTAGCGGCTGTGATTTAGTCTGCTGGGATGGGATTTTATTTGCGATATGAGAAGTTGAGGTAGTTTTACTCGGTGTTATGTGAGCTGGCTGCTGGGTTATAGCGTCGGATGATCTGTTAGTGCTCAAGTTTTGTTGGCTTGGTTGAAAAACATTTTGTTGTGGAAGTTCGTGCGGTATTTCAAGTTCTAGTGGTAATTTTTCTCGAGGGTCGAGGTCCTCAACAATAACCTGTTTTGTTTCATTAGTGCCTTCTGATCGTGGACTTGTAATTGACTGTTCTATTTGCGGATTGTAATTTTGAATCAAATCTTTTTTATCTGTTAGCTTTACAACTTATGGGAGTTCATGCGGTGTTTCATGTTCTTGAGGGATAGATTCTTCATCACAAACCTGTGTTGGTTCATTAGTAGCTTCTGATTCTGGATATGAAATTGACTTTTCAATTTGTATATTGGAATTCGATATAATATTTCTTTTATCTATATGTGTTCCAACTGATGAATTGTCTAGTAGTGTGTTTTTATTTTTTGACCATAAAACGTACAATGATAAATCTTCATTAGGCAGTAGATTTTCGACATCAGTCCTTTGCGACCAGTACATTTGGTTAAATAATATCAATTTATCTTTCGAAAATATGTTTGTGATTTCTGATTCCAAAGTTTTTACGGAATTTGCCTGTTTTGTTACGCTATTATTTTTAGATGGAATACATTTTTCAGCACTAATTTTGGACATGTCGACATACTCAGGGTCAAAAGGAACAAAGACCACTTTTGCGGGATCCATTTTTAATTGTATCTGAAGACAATTTTTCTATAGCTACTTGCAAATTAGGGGCGAAATTAGCTTTTTTAAGATGATGTCCTGAGTTTTCGGTCTTCCACATGGCTACTTGATTCTTCTACTTAGGTCTGTCAAATTGTCAAGCACAATTACGAAAGAGCACCTTGATAATTATATTGTTATTCTCATTGTAAATCTATAATAAAACATTTCTACAATAAAGCGTACGAGTAAAAAAAAAAATATTCATATAGTTTGATAGTTGCCAGTAATGGACACCCAATTAGCAACACCATCACCAGTTATGATCACCCAATCATGAACATGCCATTTTTTAAATTCAATAATCATCACCGTGTTACGTAAAATAACAATCGTTAGGCTTTTTTATGAACATTATCAAACATTACTTAAATATTTAGCAATAATAAATTAAAAATTTCCCAAATTGTTCATGACTGGTAAGTAACACTTTTATTTATCCAATGATGAACATTGTTGTATTTGTAAATTACTATACCCATTTTGCAATATATCAAGCTGTGGGCTATTCTTAAATATACTATTAAATCACAAAATAATGACTCATTCAACATAATAACTTTACCGGCTTTAACATTAATTAATTTTTAAACTTACCTGCGCCACGATGCTTACTAAAAGATCGGATATTTTTTGAAATCGTCGGAGCCACGTATTCGTATTCAGTTTATTTTGTTAATATGGCCGACAGCTGTCAAAAAAAAAATTCTGGTCTCCGGATTGGATAAACACATTCATATAGTGTTACCATTGAAAAAAAAAATAGTCGGATTTTTTAGTTATTGGCGATTTAATGGTAATATGTCCATGATTGGTGCACTCTCCATGACCGGGTCGATTACCTTACAAGATGGCAAAAGTTACCGATCAAAATAGTACCTACATACTTTAGTCAAATGTGTTTTTATTAAAAATGTTAAGAATTATATGCTGATTGAAAAATGCTTAAAAAATCCACTTTGCCCCGGCATTCTCAGATGGGACTTAAACCCATGACCATGGATTGCCAAAAATTGTTGTTTAATATCATTATGACTACATAACATTATTAAGAAGAGTATAGTTGTAGCATATTTGATTGTTACTTAAAACACCTTAAAGGTGTTATTAGTTTTAGTAGCTCTTATATTTGTTATGTCAATAAAGGCATTCTAAATATTTAACTTTGAATTTTTCATCATTCGACATAACGACGCCGTTTAAGCCGCCATTTACGCCGCCGCCACTGAATTTTTAGCTCCACGCCGCCGCCGAAGATTTCGGCATCGGCGCACATGTCTAATTCCGCTAGAAAAGATTCTTGAAAAGAATAATATATATATTTTATTGACGAATATTGTCTATTTAATGGTTACTGAAAATTTTAGAAATATAAGTTAATTATTAAAAAAGTTATGCAACTTTTATTTCGTCTCAAAACTTATGAAATCATTATTTATGTATGATTACATATACTATATCTCCACCTTAATTACCTTCTATCTTCACATCACCCATCCGGTTGACAGGTAGAAAATGCTTACGGAATTAAGTCCGCCACTGTACTCATGCATGAAGTACTAAATAAATAAATATAGTTTTCTATTTTAGCTAATTTGAATTGAGTTTCAAGGGTTTGTAAATATTTTACGCTTAACTTATAATGAGTTCGTATAAATTTTGTATTGTTAGGCCCATCTGTGAGATTCAAACTATTTTTGCGACTTAACGACGAACGTTGCTATCAGGAACTGATTTTACTTTATAAATAGTGACTACTTTAAGGTGAAAGTAAGAATTTGACACGGCATCTAAAAATGTATACCTATATTGGTTTTAAAAGAAAATAAAAAACTCGCAACGTTGAATTCCACGGTGCGAGTTTCATAAATCTATATTTTTTAATTAACCTGTTCCATTCGAGCAAGAATCTCATCATAGCACAGAATAATATCGAGGATCCAAGCTTAAAGAGAATCTTTCTGTTTCATATTCGAGATTTGATTCACCTCCGGCTTTTTTATTTTGTATATTTTTATTCCGGACCAATCGCATTATTCAGGCTTCAAAGGAATCTTGGAAGACGATACCTCCTCCTCCTTGGATGTCCTTTCATTACTAAAATTGCATAGACCTTTTGATGTACTATTTGATTGAAGTTAAAAGTAATATAAGGAAGTTCGAAATTTGTTGTTACACTAGAGAATGAAACCAATGTGAGTACTATCTATAATGAAAATAAAACTCGTTACAAGACAATTTTGATACAGGCAGAAGTTTTAATGTACCAAATGTATGAATCTATTAAATATTATTGTTTTGAATTCAGAATGTAAAATTAATAATAATAAATCATAGCACAGATACATTTTAGGCCACCAAGGATATTATAAATGCAAATAAAATGATACCTGTAAAACAATTGACAGGGTTATAAAACTCCATTTGATACTTCTATCTCTAATTTATTAGAATAAGTATTATGTAGTAACTCTGGCCTTTTCTTACCAATATCTGCATTGTAACTAAGAGCTGTACGACTTTACCGAACGTTGAATAACACCAAAGAGGCGGTACGGTAAGAAATTAATGTTCAGTTTAAAGATTTAGCACTTGAATTGGTGAGTGCAATACAAATTAATGGGATATTTCAAATAATGAATATTCAGTGTACTCATGACAAAAGATCTATACACTCTTGACAGGGCCGTAGATTGACATTAGTCGATCATGTTTTGTAACAAAAAATTGAATTCGTATGACTTTTACATACATTTGAGACACAATAAAATATCTTAAGTATGGACATGTGATGAGACTTGCACCAAAAAAGGTTATGGGCATAAATGTGGAGTGTAAAAACAGGAAAAATTAAAAATGGGTAGACTGTGTGAAAAATGATATTATGTGTACGAAAAGAGTGAAAGTTGGGGTTGACGGATGATCAAGAAGTATATGGGAAGAATACATATAGTGCAGACTCTAACTAAATGAATTACGATAAAAGCAAACATATTAAATCATAAAAAATGTGTAGATTGAAATATATTGAGAAATATTTCGTTGACATATAGAAATATTATTAAAACTAATAACCTGAGACAAATTTGCTTCGTTTGTTAATAAGTGAATTATGCATTCAAAAATTTGCTGTATTTTTAAGAAAGTTCATAATGAAGAGCAGATAATGAGAGAACTTACATTTACATTGATTTCAAACCTTCCGGCCAGTTGGAGTGCAAATCTTTTCCCATAATACACTTGGTACAATACGCAGTCAAGAGCAGAACCATGGCAGAACTTTTCAAAGCACGGTGAAACTAGAGATAATAAGCTTTTAATCACCCAACTGAAAGTTCTTGCAAAAATTGCATAATCTCTCAACCCGACTGAGTTTAAACTTGGTAAAATAAGATTTAATATTACCACACTTTACAACGGTGGAATTGAAATTTCTCTCTGGATAAAACTTAATTGATTGCAAAAACAAAACACTACAAATAAAATAATTAGGCAGCAACCTTTTGTAAGAGACTGTCACTGGCAGGCGCTCGACGTTAAGTAGAAAATCCGTTGTTCCCTACCTCTCTTTAAATAACAATAAAGGTAAATTGAGTGGGTACGCGAGCGTCACATTTTCTAATTTATTTTTTAAAGATTTCAGTATTGGTGTTTATTATTGACCCAGTATTAGAAGTGTCGTGAGATCAAACGGGGCATGTGGTCCTATTGGTGATATGAAATGAAATGAAATGAAATGAAATGAAAATATCTTTATTCAAGTAGGCTATTACAAGCACTTTTGAATCGTCCAAAAAACTTTTTTCCCCTACCACTTGTTCAGGACGTCTTTTAGCTGACAAGAAGAACAAGCGAAAGAAACTTATCAGCTTTTTATCATAAGTAATGACATTTACATAAATCATGTCATTACCAAAATAATATGTATTATCAATTTATCACAAAAGTAAATACAACTTTCAAAGTCTGTAGGACATAAG